ATGTACTACTACAGGCTTTTCCTCGGCCATCTGACACATAAGATATAAATTATGAAAATTGCAATTGTGAAATGATGGTAGCAATAGGTAAAACAGTAATACCTTCACGCATATCCCTTTCATGTAATCTCACATTTCCACTGCACAGGACATTGATTACAAAGAAAAATGTAAAAATTACAATTGTCAAATGCCACAACTGATAGCTTATCTAGAAACAACCATAAGACAGAGAAATTGACGGAAGCTCACCCTACTAAGTCTTGATTTTCCAGGTCGAGATCAAATGCATCAAGCTCAAACCTCTTAGGTAAAGTGATAGAATAGTAACGCGTCTGTGAGGGCCCAATTCTGGCTCGTTTGTCTTTTACAGTCTTCAGGCCACATAATTTATTCAGTACTTCGTTGCAATCGTCAAATAAATATCCAACTTTCTTCGAGTATATTCTCACGACGCCCAGGAGAAGGAAAGCTAAGATTCTATGAGTGACCACAGGAACTTCATCATATAGAATCTTATCTGAGAAGCAGCAGTCACAGAAAATGAGATGAAGTGTATCAAATCATATATAAAGAAGCAAATGAAAAATACTTCTACTAATAATATAACCGACAAAATCTCTTTTGGCTTTTACACAATGACTTCATGTGTCAAAATTCTTAAAATAGTGAGACTTTGAATAAGGCAAAGAAAGCCAATGTGCAGGGATAGAACTGTATCTTGATATGAATAATGTTCAGTACTATCACATGAAAAAATAAGACAAATAAGCCTTCCTACAAATTATTACACAGATTATTAAGTAGCCACACCTATATAGTATATAGTATCTTCAACATTAGCACATCTGCCTAATAAGTTACTGCATCACCATTGTCGTTTTGTTCTTCACATATTCGGTAGTGCGTTGACTATTTCCATTCATATTACAGTTGGAAAGACATCATAAACCTTTCGAACCTATATCCCCCTTACATGATAGCCAGAAATGGCGTCATATATACAGATAGAATCATCCATAGGCCAATGGACTAACTATAGCTAGCAAGTCAAAAAAAAATCATCCATAATTTTAGGAATTCAAGGAGAGGGATAGCTCTAAACTCATAGACTGACATGTTTTCTACTGTCTCTAGCGAAAATAAAATAAATAAATAAAGCAAAATTCAAAACTAAGAAGGTGATTGAGTTTGAAACACAGCTAAACCAGTTAATCAATTAAACCACAAGCTGCCATCCTAGTTGAGTTATGTATGGGTGTTTGTGTGCGCGAGATACAAATGGATTGTTCTGAAAATGTATAGAACATTTGATATAGAAGTTTCTAAATTATAAACAACTGTATAAGACCAACCATTGGCCAGCCAAATTCCCATATAACTTAAAATTTCCATAGGAGATGGTCCCAAAAAAAACTAAAAAAGAAAATAATAACTAAAATCAAACAGCCCGGAGAAAGGCAAGCTAAGGAAAATAGTTTTAAATCGAAACACACACACGCACGCACACCATAAAATGCTATCTTTCCGACAAAATGTTATCTGCAACCAAGGGGGGAAAAAGGGGTCTGAGAGATCTGCATGAAAAGAAGCAAAGAGAGATGAAGCGAGAAGCAAAAAATGATGAGAGACAGACCCACAGAAGAAGAAATGTTGGTCTGCTGGACTTGGTCTTTGTTGAGCCTCCTGTGACAATGAGCGGCCAACCAAACGATGCCTAAGGCCCCCTTCTTTGATAGCAATAACTGCGAATAAAACATGCCCTCTTCTTCTTTCTGTATATCAGAAACTCAAAAGCTTGTCTGCGTGCCTAAAATGTGTTCAAATTCACAAAACGGTGTCTGCAACTGCGAAATGGAAGGGAAATGAAAATTGCGTTTTTGTGTATGTGTGTGTGGAGACAAAGGAAAAAACGGTCGACCTCCAGTCTCCAGGGAGGTGTGCTATGAAAGAATCTTTTTCTCGAGAATTGTATAAAAATGAGGTTTGCTTTTGACGAGGTTGTTTTCACCGCCTGCCGAGTTTCGGATAAACATCCAAAATTTACCATTTCACCCATTTATCCCTTTTTTTTCCTTCTTCATGAAATGTTTTGTAAAATTAAGGGGAAAACGAAAATCACTTTTAACAATTAAATTATATCAAACTTTAATATACATTTAGGCTTGGAAAAATCACTTTTAAGTTTTAACAATTAAATTATATCAAACTTTAATGTGCATTTTGCCTTGGAAATTTAAATACATTTTTCTAAATATCAAGGTATTGCACGATATTGATAATGTTAAAACCTAGTAAACATTTCAGTTTTGGTACCCTAGTTACACCTACTTTTCAATTTTGATATCCTTGGTTTCCACTTAATCACTTGTAGTCATTCAAGTATTTAAAATCCATCAGTTTTGGTCAAAATTGTCAGTTGACCGTGAGTAAACTGACGGTCACCTTCTCTAGCAGGTTGTCTCCTTCTGCAAGCGATACAAAATGGTAGGCATCTCCATTACAGCAGCACAAAGCCGACAGTGAAGGAAAAAAAAAAAAGAAGAAAATCTTGCACCATGAGCAGTTCAAAAGGAAGCTGGAACTCCGAGATTAATGGTGCTCCAATGGAGATGACCTACAATTGTGGACTAAAAGTGTACTTAAAGACCTCTTGGACCCGAAAGAATCTGGGAAGAAGATATTGGGCATGCCCTAAATATGGGGTAATTAATTTTTATTTTCTTTTTGTTTTTGTTTTCTTTTTTTTTTCAATTTGGCTAATGTAAATGTAACAAACATTTGTAAAAAAATTTGCAGAACTTTGGTTATTGTGGAATTTTTATATGGTTCGATCCGAATATTTGCGAAAGAGCAAAGAATATTATACCCGGTTTGCTGGAAAAATCAAATAAACACCAACATCAAATTGAACAATACAAGTTGAAGAATGCTGAAATCGAAGCTCAGCTATTAGTGGCAATGAACAAGGTGGATGACATGAACAATGCATTGGTTGTGTGCAAGAATAAGATCGAAAAATTATGGGTGCTATAATTCTTCTTCATTGTTGTACCTTATCACATTATGTTTTAACTAGATTTAGATAGTTATGGTTGGTGTAATTTGAAGTATTGTTATGTAATGGTTTATGCAATTCATGTACCGTTTGCAGTATGAAAATTTTGGAGTAATTCTCTCATTTGGTTTTCAATGGATATTGTTATGTATTTGCAATACGAAGAAGAAATGATCCATAAACACAATAGAAATTGCATCAACAAAACCTAAACAAACAAGTTACACCAACAAACCCCAACAAAACGTGAACCACCAACTAAATATGATCATGTGAAGTCAATGTGACTATAAAGCCAATTAATTCACCAAAAACACAACAACCACAAAGAACCATTCCCATTGCATGTCAAACCAAAAACACAACATCCAAACTAAGTTTCATACCAATAAACATCACTAGAAAACAAAGGTTTTATTCCAATACACAATACAACAATATTGTTTTTCAAACTTGTTACCGATAAGCGAAAAACTCTAATTTGTTCAGCTGAAAAAGAACCTTAATTTTTAGGGCACCGCTCACCATAATCAGATAATATGGATCCCTCAAAATTAACCATATAATTTCCATTAATTCTAAAAATTGGTGACAAATTGAACTGAAAAAACTTACCGTATTGAGGTTGCAACCCACATATAATCCTTCTCGCCATGTATTCAGATGGGTCGTCGCAATTCTGAAGATGGTCGTCCCAATTCTAAAGATGCTCGTCGCAAGTCCGAAATGTTGGGATCTGTGAGGATCTCGTTATGTACAAATCACGAATTCAATAGCAAACGTAAACCTATGCGCAGCGGAGCTAAAGGTTTGACGTAGGGAACTTACGGCTTAAAATTTATGTAGATCTGGCTGACCACGAACGGTTGACCGCAATTGATTGACCGCAAATCACGTCTTGGGTTGCACGAACAAGATCAGATCAAAATCGGATCAAACGGATGCAAACAGATCAAAATGAGTTTTTGCAGTCAGGCTCCTTCCGGCGGCGCGTGAGGGCGCGTGCAGCGTCGGAATATGGCGACATCGGCGGTGATGGAAAGTTCTCGTCGATACGGTCGTTTGGGTATACTGTACGTCTCAATCGGACTTCCGGTTAGTTCTGTAGGTCAAAATATATTTCGTCTCGGTTTACCTACAAATCTTCTACTGTATTACTCAATACACCCTTCTTCAACTTGTACCAGTGGAACAACAAGAAGAAGATAAACCTCGAATGAGATCTAGAGAGAGAGAGGCATGTGAGGCCTGTATCTCGTGTGAATGAGACTTCTGTTCTCTTCTCATGAGCTTAATGATGTATATATAGAGCTACAGTAGGGACTCTAATCCTTAATTAATTAGACTAACTGTGGGCCAAGCCCACTCCTCTAATTAATTAAATAATATTAATGGGCCACCAACATTATATTATTGCACTCCCTCTTCCTAGCCCAAATTACATTTGAGACTCCAATAATAATTACTCGATTTACCTCCCCACGTTTAAGATATAATGTCCATTAATTAATTCGATTACTGACAATCAAGAATTAATTAATTTATTATTATTTCACCGAAGCTAGCGCTCGTTCATCACATTCTTATTATGCCGGAATTTAATCCACCTGCAGGGTTTAGCATAACAATCCTTCATGAACTCACTCCGGGGACATCATCAAACTAACGCACATGGTGACCGTAAATATCCTAACAGCACATCCTATATATAATAATATTACCCAAAACAGTAGGAATATTAATCCAGCGAACTGAACCTCACCCATGTGAATCAAAGTAATATATATTATACATATCTGCCTGTTTAATATCTTACGGGTTAAGAGAACGCAGTAATTAACCGAGGCCTAGTTCATTTACGACGATCAGTATAAAATGAACTTCTCCTCTCTGGGATCCTGTTCAATACATAAATGTACTAGTGCAACTAATCAGTCAAGACAAACTGTACAGTAAACACTACAACCGTTCGGATGGAGTGTTCATGTCCATCTAGGTTGTGAACAACTATTCTTGTTCGCAAGTAACTGATAGAGTGATCTTCGGTTCGCCCGATGACGACCCACCCTATCTAAGTGCAGAACAACAGAACGTAGAACTTGTTTAATCTAACATGATTCTCATTCATAAAGGGTAAATGTGTAATAACATGCAAAGCCAAGCTTTCAGTATATAACACTAACACGAAATTGAAGCTCAAATACACCAATACACCACTTGATTGAGAGAAGTCCAATAAATTTTTTATAGGTAAAAGATTAGAATATGTTTTCTTTTAATTAGGTCTGTTCGATGGTAGAAGTTAGGGGCAACTGATTAATTATGTTTCTTTGGAGAAAGCAACCGGCTAGAGAAGGTGGCAATCGTTGACTCACGGTCAACTGATAATTTGGGCAAAAATTGAAGGATTTTAAAAGCGAAAAGAAGATATAAACTCTAACATTAAAATTAAAATTTTCGCTAATATTAACCTTTTAAAAAAAAAAACGCATTGACAAGAATAACGATACTTTTCTATCTTTGGAGAAACAGAAAAGGAAGAATTGGATTGAAATAATTTCCAATGTTATGGTCTATAAATTCAAATTTTAGGTTGTGCTTGGTAATTGGTACGTTAATTAATATACTCAATACTAGTACGTAACCCGTGCGATGCACGGGATATAAAATTTGGAAGAATAATATAGTCTCACTTGCATTAGGATCGAAATTGAAATCATTAAAATACATAGGAACATTGTTGAATCATAAAAAGTTCGGTAACAATCATAAATTATTAAAAACCTCCTTGTACACAACATTATGAGTTTGATTATTTGGTAACTCCTCATTATCACAAACTAATATTTTCAACCCCTTCTATTATTTACACGCGAAGCAGCAATATATAATTGGCCGTGACTAAAAACCGGTTTCTTCAAGAAAAGACCAACGTGCGATAAAAAGAGTTTTTAAAAATTGAAAAGTCAAGGCAATCAGTTCAGATTAATTAAAGGTCAAAGAATATTCGCTCCTTGAAATAAAGACGTGTGCTATCATTAACCAAATATCCGGTTATTGATATAGAGTGGTTACCAAAAAATAGAACGCGATAAGGACGCTTCATGGAAATATCAATGGGATAAGGTCATAACAGATCGCTATACATTTTAACTATAAAAGCTCATATGGAATGATTTAATTAGATGTGTGAAAATGACATAATTAATGAGAAGTGTGAAAAGAACAAAAACTTACTGGTTTTAGAAAATATTTAATGCAAATCCGACATTGACCATAATTTGACCTACTATTTTGGATAATTAGGACAAAAACTTACCAATTTTAGAAAATATTTAATGCAAATCCGACATTGACCATAATTTGACCTACTATTTTGGATAATTTTATCCAAAATAGTAGGTCAAATTATGGTCAATGTCGGATTTGCATTAAATATTTTCCAAAACCAGTAAGTTTTTGTTCTTTTCACACTTCTCATTAATTATGTCATTTTCACCCTTCTCATTAATTATGTACTTTTCACACTTCTCATTAATTATGTCATTTTCACACTTCTCATTAATTATGTCCTTTTCACACATCTAATTAATTCATTAATTACGACGTAATTATCATAAATTATTCCATCTGTTAAAATGTATAGCGATCTGTTATGACCTTATGCAATTGATATTTCCATGAAGCGTCCTTATCGCGTTCTATTTTTTGGTAACCACTCTATATCAATAATCGAATATTTGGTTAATGATAGCACACGTCTTTATTTCAAGGAGTGAATATTCTTTGACCTTTAATTGATCTGAACTGATTGCCTTGACTTTTCAATTTTTAAAAACTCTTTTTTTAAATATTTCGGCTTAAGATTCGGATTTCATTATACAAGTCATCGGATTGTTTGAATGAAAATGAATGAAAAGAACACCAAAAGCAGGTAGCCTTATTCATATAACCAATCCTAAAATATTAGTTTTTTCACCAAAAAGAGACAAATCCTAGAAATCCTAAAATATTAGTTTGTTCACCAAAAATATTAGTTTGATTTTTAGGATTTATCTCTTTTGAATATTAGTTTGTGATAATGAGGAGTTACCAAATAATCAAACTCATAATGTTGTGTACAAGGAGGTTTTTAATAACTAGTACAGAGCCCGTGCGATGCACTGAGTGCACAATTTTAAGGCTATTTATCCATACTTATAATTATATACATGAATACAGAAAAATGTACGGGATATATATAGTACGTGACCCGTGCGAAGCACGGGATATATTTATTTGAGGAATACTATATTATAAGATGCAATATTCAATAAAAGTTTTTTATAATACGCAGGAAAATTACAATAAGATAGTATTCGACAAACAAACAATCATATATTATTAAAGACCACCCTGTACACAACATTATGAGTTTGATTTTTCATACAATAATAATAAGATTTTTTGTAAAAAGATAAGAAGAAATTTTCAATCTACACAAACTTTAAACATTAGGTGTATTTACGTAAACCAATGACTATATAGACAACTAAACCCTTCAATTTAGGCTTGACATCTACTTTATATATGGGTGACGTAAAATAAGGATTTAATTTTGACCGATTAAATCTTTATTCATAGGCTTGACATATAAAACTGATTTGATGGGATTTTCTTAACTAAACCGATGCTATGGGATAAAACAAATCTATACTTACCTTTGACTTTTCCAACAAAGGTAAAAAAATGGGTTCTGATTTTTATCCCATAACAAATCTTTAATGTCAAGCCTATAAATACCAAAACAAATCTGTAATTAATATCATTTTATTTCCAGCAAGCATTAATTACCTTTGACTTTTCTGCCTACTATTTCTAGTAAATAGGATGACTTTTTATATAAGTATAGATTTCATATAATTCAAAGACTGAGATCATAAAAAAGAATCCTAAAAACTGAAACAATATATTTGCATAATTTAAGGCCATTAAGAAATCGATCTCTAAACCAGATTTGATTTTTAGAATATGTTTTTTCATTTCGAATTCCATACAAAATGGAATTCTTTCCAACCAATAGATGTCATAGCAAATATTAACTCTTAACTATTAGACTATTAGTACATACCGAGCAAATTGTGTACTGATTTTAGAAAGTTAAAATGATTCATGTTAGGTAATTTACATTTTATGCATGTTGAACGGTGGGTTTTAAATATTGTTTCATAGAATGTAAAAATGTATTATATTATTTTTATGAGATGTTGAATTTGAAAATTAATAGAATTCTTCTTCATAGGAATTTTAAATGTACCAATATTCTTTGGTATACACTACTAATAAAATCTATATTTAAAGTTTATATTTTTTTTTACCGAAAAAAATTCCTTAATTTAAGGAATCATATATCTTCAATCAGTCCACATCTATATACATTCTTCACAATTTTAAATCTTGAATTTGATGAGAATTCGTATCTATGAGTACAAAACATGGTTTAACAAATTAATTTTTTATTATTATTCCAGCCATACTTCTTTATACGATTTTTTGTGAAAATACAAAAGTAAATTCTTAATTTTAAACCAGTCGTACATTAAAGAGTACAAATTTGTTGAAATTACAAAAGTAGTTTTTTACTTTTAAACAGACGTAAATTTAAATCAGTCATAAAAAAGTAATATTTGTTTACCATTTAAATATTAAATCAGCCGTAATTAATGTTGTTTGTTTTAGTTGCCACGATTTACTCCAAACTAAATTAACAATTGCCATGATTTAAGGGCAACATTTAATGTTACTCTATTTTTAGGAGACATTAAATGTATTTGGCCGAAAAAAACTTGCTAAAAGTGTTAAATGGTTAATCTTTTAATATAATGATAGATATATGATTTTTACTGAATTTTTTATGATTCAACAATGTTCTTATGTATTTTAATGATGTCAATTTCGATCCTAATGCACATGAAGTTATATTATTTTTTTCAATTTTACATCCCGTGCATGGCACGGGTTACGTACTAGTTCTTATTATATAAGTATAGATTTCAGATTAAGCAACCGCTATCAGTACTGGACTACTACTTGGACTCGAGTAGAATATTTGGAACGTTGAGCCAATCCCCAAAACAAACCTACCCACATCCATGAATCTATTTTTTNTACCCATAACTCAGCCATCTCCTTCCCCCCATCAACCACAAAATGCACTTCCTTATTCTTCCTCGTCCTCACGTGAAACATCCCATCACCTTTCCTTCCCTTGTTCCTGACGAAGCTCTCACTCGGCCCCACCTCCACTTGTCGACAAATCACATTCCGACAGCTCGACTTTCCCCAACTCAAAATCCCTGCAGACCCCACCATTTTCAGCAACTTCCCGTGCGAAGCTCCTTTCCCTCCCTTGGTGTGCTTCTGCACGCGCGAACCGCTCAATACAACTTCTCGACCGAGCGCATTAAGTATCTCATTCTCGGCCTCCTCGTTAAGCGTTTCCCTAACAAGTGACAGAGCCGATTCCCCCTTGGCGTTCTTCATCCCCACGCGGGCCCCACAAGATAATGATAGTAGTCGACACATCTCGGCATTGGCTTCTTTGGCAGCCAGCATGAGTGGCGTGTACCCATCACAATCTGAGGCATTCACATCGTAGCCTTTGCTCGTCAGCAACTTGACTGCATCCAAATCTCCGCATCTCGCAGCACAGTGCAATGCGTAAAAACCTTCTCCTCCCCCGATTCGGTTATTTCCCTTCTCCAGGGCGAACTCGAGCATCACTTTCTCAAACAGATACCTGTTTTTACTTAGCATCATCGCCGATTTATTGCACAGCCTCACGTCGGCCCCGGCATAAACGAGAAACCGGAAAGCGTCGACATGGCCCTCCATTGCAGCCACCATGACTGCTGAGAAGCCTCTCCCGTCCTGCTCGTCGATCTCGATATCGTCTGAAGATCCCATCAGAGCTTTCAACCCAACAACGTCTCCCGACTCGGCTACAAATAACAGAGGTGCAAAAACATCAATGTTGGTGGAGAAGGGTACAGTTCCCTCACGAATTACTTTGAGCAGAGCGTTTTGAAAACAATTGTACCACAGGTTGGACCTGGCGATTGAGCACAC